GAGTGCCCGGATAACCCACAAACATGCCAGCCCGACCATGTTCAGCGAATTTATCTAAACCAGGATGTGTATCTTTGGTTAGGCAAGGCATCCGAAAGTGCGCAGGTGATAATATGTGGGCACTCGATCCAAGAGAACTTAGAAAGAGGTTTTCCAGGCAAGAACAATAAAGGGCATTCGATTAATTAGGTAGGTGGCAGTCAGTACACACTCACCCCAGAACCGAACAGGTAACCCTGCATGAAACATGAGAGCTTATGACTCGATATTTGCATATGTTTTCCCCTTTGTTTCTTGATCGTTTGAGCTTAAATTATCGCTTCTTTGGCCTATTTTACGCTAGTTTGTGTTCCTTTGTCACATTTCAGGTCCTAGCATATAAAGTGAAGCATAGGCGCAAGTTTCAAGTCAATCAGAGATCAATTGGCGATTAGGGAGAAGAAACTCGGGCATGACCTGAATAAGAATCGATTTCTACCTAACTTGATGGACAAAGAATCATGCAAACTTGTCATTAAAAGAAATAGGACAAGACTACGAGCGTCTAGGATCAAACGGCGACTAATTCGGAGTCCGGACGAGGGAGAAACGAAGCATTGAATATAGGGGAACAGGTTCGGCAGTAAAAACACGGGCGCGCCTATATCAAAACACGGCCGTGTCCATATTTAGGCACGACCGTGTTTTAGCCGACGCGCGCGGGCGTGTTTTTAACACGGGGCAAAACACGGGTGGGAAAAAGCAAAGCACGGCCGTGTCCTCGACCGTGTTTTGCCCAGAATCGGGTTTTTTAGGCAGATTGAGGCCAAAGGAAAGGGAGAGCTGGGTTTTGGATCCCAAACACCCAAGGGACGAACAAAAGAGAGAGAGGGAGATTTGAGGGCATTCTAAGAGTGGAATTGGAGGATTTCTTCGCCTTGGAAGCTCGGGGAACAAGCCCGGACTTGAAGACTGATCATCTGAAGATTCTTACTGCAGTCTCTCTTTTCTCTATGGAGTAACTTCCCTTCACTTAGGTTTTGAGGAACCCTAGCTATGTTTGTTTGATTGGATGATTGTATGAGTACTCTGACTTGATAACCTTGAGTTTATACTCAATCTATGCATGTTTTCATGATAACCTTGATTCCGCTTTGATCCTATTAGAGCGAATACCTGATTAGGTCAATAGAGCACCATAGATTGATAGTAGTGGATCGATTGCTTTAGTCGAGGGTTGATTCACTGTTTTGTATCGATTGAGAACCTCATTCGATAGAGGGAATCTAGTTCAGAACGCCTTGATCGGTTGTTCTAGAAAAGGATACGTCCCTCTAGGCAATTGACTCAAGAGGGCCTTGTTCCTTTAGTCGAGACTCAAGGTCTAGTCAAGGATTCTCCGCATTGTGAATGAAAGTGAAACAGGTTAGAGATCATCTATCATTAATCTGGCTAGTGGCTAGGGGGAATCATACCTAAGTGAGTTCCCAACCTGTAATTAGATTAACTTTAACTGTAGTTTGCTAGAGTAGTTTTAGTTCTTCCTTATTAATCTGGTTTGCTAAATAATGAACTGAAGCTGAGTAATAGTAACTCTAGAGACCCGTGGATTCGATATTTATTACTTGAGCCACTATACTGCAGTCCCTTCCATTGGTTACACTTGGCCATTGTTAGGAGTTGTGTCATAGCGAGTCAAGTATAAACAAAGATCTTGAAGCCCCACAACAATGCTTGAAGATCAATTGAAAATAATTTACAAGAAGATAGTTTTTTTATTGAGTATTTGAGGTTACTGCTCTTGAATAGGGTCATTTCTTATATTCTAGGTATAAAACTATGGACATACACTAACAAGATTTTATGTATCGATGGTAATTTCCGATTAAATGGTTCATTTAAGTTGTCTTTACTCTTTTGCACCAGCAGGTTACTATGTAGTTTTTTTTTCCCCAAAAGCTCACTTGTATTACCAAGAAACACAGATACCAAAGTTCTACAGCACAATGATTACAACCCAAACAACAACCACTGTCTAAAATCAAAATAATCAACACTAGCAGAGAACAAAGAAAGGGTCTTTCTATCCATCGAATGGGCCACCCAACTCCTCAAACGGAACCATTGTATTGCATCCCGGAACGCCACCAATTCTACCACCAGCCAAGGATCCCTGCAATCCTGCATATTGAGGCTTTCACAAAGACCACATTCCCCATCCCATCTTGTACCACCAACTCACCCGCTATGTGGGACCCTCTAGCCACCGCTCTTCTATCCACACATCACCAAAAATGTGTATCGACCGTCGTATACCATGCACGCCTATCACCCCCCCCCCCCACCCACCGCCTCCCCTAGCCCCTAACTCTGTCTAAAGCACAAACAAAATTTACAACTTTTTTTCCGCAAAGTCAGTTGTTATAAAATCAGTCGTAAAGAGAAAATAAAAAGAGCGTGGGAGTCGACCAATAATTGAACTCCCGATGAGAGGGCCTTTTATCCCACATGATGGGCAACCCTATTGAGTCGGCGGAGAACAAAACAATAAGAAACCCAACTAAAGAGAAAAGCCAAGCTCTGAGCATCCTGCAAGATAGTTCCATCCCGATAATGAGCCAAGTCACCTGTCTGAGGAAGTCTCTCCGATATCGGGAGCTCTTCTGCGTGCCCCTACAAAAAAAAAACAAATACACAAGCGTCCCCACTGTAGGACAACTAAGTTCCACCAAATGGACTTAAACAAGCCATTAAGGCTTAGTCGGATACTCCAAATCCAAAACTATGTCAAACTAATATATATTTTTTAAGTATAGTTAAAGAAAAGCAATAAAATAAAACAGACGAAATTGAATGAACCATCATAATCAATTTTAGGAAAATGAGCGGACATTTTTGAACTAGCAAAAGGCGGATTTTTCGAATAATTAAAAGCCATTAAAAGGTTTTTTACAACTTTAGCTACGAAAGTATTCATCACAAATCTATGATCGATTGAAATATACGACGCTCCTCGTCCCGAAAGATTGCGACGACAAACTTCATCGCAAAAGCCTCTGTGTGATGAAAGTTATTGTCATTGTTGCTTCCATTTCAACGACGGTTTAATTTATTCTTCGTGAACTCTCTTTATTGTGACACGCTAAGGATAGTCGCAAAGATTTCAACCTTCTCCCACGAGTGGAACTTTTGGCCAAGATGCACCAATTGGCAAAATCCGTTGTTCGTTATATACTCTACGGAGATACAATGCATTTTGCGACAAGTTGTGGCGTTACAAAAAGTTTCTGCGACAAAGTAAGGGATCTTTAGGACGAAGCTTCGACTCTAACAGTATCATTTGCTGTAGAGTTGTAGTCAACCGGCTTGAGATGGGGTCAGTAACCGGCTGTTACTGACCTGTGAGTAACCATTTATGGACCGTTGATCTGGGACAGAATCATTGTGTGGCTGGGATTGACGCGGGGTGGGGAGGGACATTTTTGTCCGGTTTTTGAATTTTATTTCTTGTCTTTTTCTACTTTTCTAGCATGTATATACTTACTTTTACGGAGGAAAGAGAAACCACACTTTTCTCTTCCTCCCTCTTTTCTCTTCCCCTTCTTCTCTTCCTTCTCTCTTCCAAACTCCTTTTCCCAGATCTAGATATGTTCCTTTCTTTTGTTCTTTATTTTTTTCTTCAACAATTGACAAAGAAAAATTGCAGCATCATGTCTCAAAATCTGGTGACGCTCCAAATCCTTCTTCTTTGTAGCTGCTTCTTCCTTATGTTCTTTCTTTTCTCGGCCTCAAAATAGATGACGCTCCATATTGACCAAGAGGGGACGGATCTATGTGAGTTAAGTTTGCATGTTTTATATTTTAGTATTTTTTTGTGAATTTTCAATTCCGATCTTCCTCCTCTTTTTGTTGCATTTGGTGTTCTTGATTGCGGAGGAGAAATGAGAGAAGACAGAAGACGAGTTTTTTTTCTCTCCCTCCTTCTGTTTTTCTTCCTTTTAGGTAATATATATTGATATTACCACACTATACCATATGGTAATGTGTGATAACTAAATGTATCTTTATGGTCACGAGTTTTATCATGGTGGCAGTGGGTGGTAATCGACTCCAGTTCTGAGAAAAAAGAGTTAGAAGACAATGAAGTTGGAGAAGAAAGTGAAGAGAGTCGTAATTATATATATACTGAGATTACCACACTATACCATATGGTAATGTGTATATACCACACTATACCATATGGTAATTTGTATATACCATATGGTAATGTGTATATACCATATGGTAATTTGTATATACCATATGGTAATGTGTATATACCACACTATAGCATATGGTAATGTGTATATACCATATGGTAATGTGTGGTAACGAAATGTATTTTTATGGATATCGTTTTTACTATGGTCGTAAAGGTTTGTAATTAGATTTATATTATTTTTGTATGGTTTTACCTTCTCATACCATGTGGTATTGTATGGTAATTACAATTAATTTGTGTTCATTCGATTAACCATGTTCTACTATGGTGGTATTGTATGGTAGTTAGATTTATAATTTTCTGTAACATGTTTTACCATGTGGTGATAGTTGGATTTGTAATTTTATTTTAGCATGTTATACCATATGGTAAATAGATTTGTAATTTCTGTAGCATGTTTTACGACGTTATACCATGTGGTATACTGGTAGTGTATGGTAGTTAGATTTGTAATTTTTTCAACGTATTTTACCATGTTTTACCATGATAGTAGACAGTGATAAAAATTTCATATTTGTAATTACTGTCTTTTGCACTAAATTATTTAACGAAAAAATCACCATTTAATTTGAGTTGAAATTTGAACAAAGATAGCTAGGATGATTAGATTCATTTTTGTTGTAGATGAGAGAGAGGAAATAAAGTACTTTTTCTAATAATAAAACAAAGAGTAAAAGAGAGGAGAACTAGGTGGGGTGGGAGAGTGGGATCCGCGTCAGACCGTCAGCATTAAATAGGGGGTACAATTTACCCTATTACCCCTTCGTGTTGAATTTTAATAAAAGAAAAAGGCTGACACGTGGAGGCCAGAGGAAGGGATTACTGATGGTTACTGAGGTGATCCGGTCTCTAGTCAACCCAAATACAAAATCTTTCTTTCGAATCCCAAGTTACCGACATGTCACAGGAGAACATGTCCATCTGAACCCCGACATACTAACACAGACCAAAAAATCACCTATGCTTCACATAAAAGTAAAACACAAGTAAACACTTTCATCCCTTTATCTACCTTCATTAATGGAGGTAACAGAGATGGAGTTTTGGGAATAGTTCTCTCTATCAATACTGTACAGTGCTGCAGGTTGACCCGGCACTGGCAAGGCAAACGAGTCGCTGGAAAGCATGAGATGAATCGAGTTCATGTCGGGCCGATCTGCATCAGCTTGTTGACAGCACAAAAGCCCTATCTGAATGCACATCCTTGCTTCATCGGCGTCATAATAGTCGCCAAGGCTCGAGTCAACTAAATCCAGCGTCTTTCCTGCTTCATAGAGCTTCCATGCCTGTGTTTAAGAAATTACACCCCCGAAGCAAAACAAGTTAAACAGAGTGCTCTGAAGCACAGGAATATGAGCATTTATGTAATAGACTCCATGTGACTCTCGCAAAACATTCCATACCGCGCTCTTTGGGATCAACTTACCGAATCCAAGAGATCAGCATCGTCAAGAGACTCCGGACCGTGACTGTAACCATGAATACTTCTCCCGCTCGTGATTTCCAGAAGGAGAATACCATAACTGAAGACGTCGGTCTTGACAGAGAGATGTCCATGCATTGCATACTCTGGAGCCATGTAACCACTGTACGTAATGAACATAAAGTTTGTTCTCATCAGCTGCTTGCGATTAAGAAAGGTGCAGGATGCAAACATCCACTAAGTAGAAACTACTGACAATCGATCATAGAGAAGTAAGAAGCAAGCAAGCACTCACAGAGTTCCAGATATCGTAGATGCATTTACATGTGTTTCTTCCTCGGGAAACAGCCAGGCAAGGCCAAAATCCGATATCTTTGGGCTCAGTTTTGCATCCAGCAGTATATTACTGGCACTGATATCTCCGTGGAGGATTCTCATGGGGGCTTCTTCATGGAGATAGAGAAGCCCCCTCGCCACCCCTGTCGCTATAAGGAATCTTGTTGCCCAATCCAGGGTGGAAGACTTCTCTTTATTTATTTCACCAGTACGAGAAGCATCAGGTGATGCTAATTTTCTTTTGCCGGACATATATAGAACACAGATACTAAATATAAGCAATAGAATAGATATGAGCTTTTTGTACCGAAGAGGAAGCAATCAAGGCTTTTGTTTGGCAGATACTCGTAGACAAGCATCTTCCCAGGTCCTTCTACACAACAACCCAACAATGTAACCAGGTTTATGTGCCGGATCTCGGACAGCAGTTTCACCTCATTAGTGAATTCTCTTACTCCCTGTGTTGAATATGACGAGAGCTTCTTCACCGCGATTTCTTGGCCACTCGGCATCACCCCCTGAAAACAGGGTGAATGAACCACCAAACATGAAATTCCTTGATCAGCAGTTAATTAGCTGACGGTTCTGCCAAGTACAATGCACTGGAGTGTAGGAAGAAATAACAAAACTAGAGAGTCACTATAACGAACCTTGTAGACGGGACCAAAGCCTCCGTGACCGAGCTTATTCGACGGGGAGAAGAAATCAGTGGCCACTTGAAGCGTACGGAGGCCAATGAAGAGGTCGTAAGCCTCGAAAGCTATGCCGAAATCGTCGCCGTCCTCCTTGGGGCGACCGGACTTCAGCTTCCCGTCCAGGTAGCGGCGAATGGTGCCGATAAGGCCCATGATTAATTAGCTCACGGAGCGTAGAGTTTGCGTGGGAGAATACCTGAGAAATGCGTGCAACTTAGTGCTTTTCGCTGTTGATATAGCATTTGGATGTACATTGTGATACAGATTCCTCCCATGAAAAAAAGGGAAGCCATACATACACGGGTCGACCCGCTCCTGCTCCCGCCAAGGCCTAACGCGCAAACGCGGAACGCCCTGTAGCTGACCGACGTAATATTAGAAGAGGAGAGCAAGGAAGTTGGGCCCGGCGGCAGGAAGAAACCAAGTAAAAGGTTAGTGACACTTGACTGAAAGAATTCAGAAACTTAAGACTTACGATTTGACTATTATGGCCATCCTACAAGGAAACCGTTGAGCGTTGTTATGATACACTCATCTTTCAACTTGAAACACGGTTTGCCACTCCACTCCAAATTCAAGATATATAACTTACTTAAATGGTCATTACACTATTCCATATGTAATAAATTCATCACTGATATTTAAAATGTAACAAAATAGACATTTAGACTTGTCAATTCGTAACAACTCGGTCACTTACTGCACCTAGTCAGTATGCCGACAAGACATGTCATCTCATACCCTTTGACCCCGCACTATCCAACCATAAACACATTAACCCAGGTTCGACCAGAATTCGAACCCAAACTATATTAACAAAACAATCCATTCCGGTGGTGTACAGAGAAAGAATGGAGATGGGTTAGGTTTCATTGTTTGTTTTGGTTGAGATGCAGGTTAGGGGGTGATAATGATGCATGTTGGGTGGTGGTATGGCAGGCTGGCAAGGCATAGTTAACGGAAAGAAAAAAGATAGATGAAGTTAGACAAATCGAGAAATATAAGTGACTATTTTGTTATATTTTGAAAATTAGTGACGAGCTTGTTACATTTGACATAATTCAGTGACCGCGTAAATGATAACCATTGAACTTGACTTCCAAAGCAAGGCCAAGGAGGCGCTTACCTGACTGACTATAAGTTCTCAGCTGAGAAAGTCAATGGTTGCCTTGCCTTCAAACTTGGTGGGTGAGTAGTCATCCAGTAAGCAAATTCTAACCGGCGAGAGAGAGAGAGAGAGAGAGAGTCGCCCACCGCCACCGGAGCCTAATGACGTTTGACGATGATCACCAGAATGAGTATGACATAGTTTTCCGATCACTAAGTTTTCCACGGTACTGCCCCAGACCACGGCCAACACAAACCCAATACCTTCCAGCGACTCCCAGGGCTGCAGCTGCCATCTTCGTCCACTCCGGCGCCACACCCTCCACCAACTCCGAGCTCTCAAGGGCTTCCTCCTCCGCCACCGGCTCCAGCTTCTTTTTCACCATCTCCTCATCTTCTTCCTCCTCATCCCCTGCCCCCTCAAGCACAGCCTCCTCCTACCGCTGCACCTTCCGGGGCAAAGACACCATCGGCTTTCGCCGGAGTTTCCCACCGAACATCACCCCGGAGAAACTTAAACAACGGCTGTCGCTCATCGGCAGCATACGGCACGCCAACGTGGTCCAGCTCATGGGAGCTTCGATTTCCGACAAGGAACCCCGGGTCGTCGACCTCATGTACGGCTTCGTCAACAGCCCCACCCTCTCCAACTGTCTGAATAACCATAATGCTAATGTTAACAACCTGTACAGTTTGTACGTTTCGACGTGGCAGTCGAGGATCGAAATCGCTCTGGGAGTGGCTCGCGGCCTGAACTACATCCACCACATGACTGGATTCGACGCCGTCCTAGTCCACAACCGTATCAAGAGCTCCAACATCATCCTCACTTTCAGGAGTAACAACAACAATACTTCTACTGCCATTTCTCAACAACCTGGTGTTGTCAGACCCCTGATCTGCAAATTTGGCCTTGCCCAGGCCGCAGGGGAGGCTGCTGCTGACGACGATAACCAAATTGGCAGTTGGCCAACGACAATGGCGTCGATCCCAGAGAGCGAGGAGGAAGAGAACCCTTACTTTTCCCCAGAGCTTCGCCGCCATGAAGGGACATTGGCGACGCAGAAATCTGATGTGTATGCATTTGGGATGCTGCTGTTGGAGCTGCTTTCCGGTGCAGAGCCAGTGGCTTATTACCATTATGATGAGGAAGAGAACGTGCACGTGCGAATGTCCATCGTTGAGACAGCAAGGGAGACACTTGCTGGTGAGGATGATGAGAGGGTGCGAGGTTGGGTGGATGGGAGGCTTATTGGGTTCATCCCGGTAAAGGTTGCGGAGAAGGCGATGCGTGTTGCTCTGCATTGCCTCAGCGAGGATCCCGAATCGCGCCCTGACATGGGCTTTGTGGAAGGAGTCATTTGCGACTGCTGGATCAACTCCAAGTAGCTTATTCTTTCTTTTAAATACAGCCGACACATTGAGTTCTGTGTAACTAGAACTATGCCTGTCATGGCAAAACACCTTCCTGTTGCAGGCAGTTTCATCCAACTTCAAGTCAAAACATCAGACAGGGAACATCTTGATAATATCATGTTTGTTATGCACTGGAAGTTTGGAGAGTAGATATCACTTGGTTGCTGTGTGTTCTTACTCTAGATATCAGATGGAAGCATGTCCACTATTTCTCCACGATTCCCCTGTTTCCCAACTGGGAAGGCATGCTTGCTTCCACTGTCAAGGCGGGAGTAGCAGGGTTAGAGTGGGTAAGCTGGTGGTCTCGTTTCATGGTTTACTCCATATAGCTGAGGTAGCAAGTAGAACTTGAGAAGGAGCCAACATAGAAGACAGACATATGCAAAAGATGAGATGTTTACCAAAGAGGAAGCAATCAAGGCTTTAGTTTGGCAATACTCGTAGACAAGCATATTTTCAGGTACTTCTACAAAGCAACCCAACAATGTAACAACATTAATGTGCCGCATATCCGATAGCAGCTTCACCTCATTAGTGAATTCTCTTACTCCTTGCATTGAAATTAAAAAAAGCTTCTTCACTGCGATTTCTTGGCCATTAGGCATCAACCCCTGAAGGATAAAAACAGCTCTACATATATATGAAGGGATACCTCTTCGAGATAATTTGAACACAAGATAATTAGCAGGATCAGTTCAACTTTGAGGACACCTCAAAAGATGTCTCATGAGTTTGCACAAAACTCAGCATACTTCGCATTCAAATCCATAATTGCACATTGAAGAATCCTACCAATCGTAGGGAAATGCAAATTCAACTGGAAGACAGAAAAATGGAGCAGTTTCGAAGCTCCGTGGACAGCCAAACCAACAGACACCACTCATAAACTGAACTAAATCGACAACGTTTCAATTCAACCGCGAAGAGGACACCATGATGAGCAGTTAACTGACAAATATGAAAGAGTTCAATGCATTGAAGGAAGAAATAACCTATCACAGTTAACTGACAAAATATGAAAGAGTTCAATGCATTGAAGGAAGAAATAACCTATCACAGTCACTATTACGAACCTGATAGCTGGGACCGAAACCACCATGAGCGAGCTTATTCTAATCGGAGAAGAAATTGGTGGCTACTTGAAGCGTCTGAAGGCCAAGGAAGAGGTCGGAAGTTTCGAAAACGAGGCTAAAACGGTCACCATCCTTCTCGACACTACGGGAATTCATTATCCCGTCCACGTATCGGCTGAAGGTGCGAATAAGGTCCAAGACGGGGCATGGAACATTGAGGTTGAGGATAAGAGAGAAGGCCTGAAATGCCGGTGGTCAGCAATCTGTCGCCACCGATGGTTGTTACGTCCCTTTTCGTGGAAATAAAAAAGAGAAGCAAAAGACCATAGTAAACGCAGAGTGAACGACAGTTAGGACATGGCTATTGAAACCATCATGTGTCACTGAAGATAGGAGTCTATGTTGCCTTAAGATTTGGTGAGTCAGTCAGTCCTCTACTTAATGGCGATTCACACTGATCATAATCAGGATCCTGACGAGTGGCAGATGACGATTCAGAGCTTCTTGACCGCAATTTCTTGGCCATCAGGCACCACTCCCCTGAAAGCAGTGCTACATGGATGAATAAAATACCTCTTTCAGATAATTTGACAGAAGATTTTGCAGGTTAATGTACAGTAGAAGGAGACAAATGAGCACCTCAAAAGTCTGTCTTGAGAATTCACAAAACTCAGCATCCTATACATTCAAAGCAGATTTTAGTAACTAGGGTTTCATCATGAGCCAATTCATCAGTAATGCTTCAATTTGACTGATTGTTGAAAAATGGATCTCTTCACCTCAAAAATCATATTTATATCTTCTACTCCAAGGTTCTGCTATGGTATCTCTTTTCAGCTAAAGCCCATAGTCTCTAGAACCAAAACCCCTGAAAATTTACTAGAGAAAACTATATCAGGCAAAACAAGACGGTAACCAATTGCCCAGTTGCCAATTGGAGAATTGTACCATCTGCAGGGAAGAAAAATCGATTGAAATGAGACGATGGCCCAAACCAACAAAAGCCAAAGTTTGAATTCCGTAAACTGAACAAAAATGAGATGCGTTCAAATCAACTGGTAAAACGACACCATGATCAGCTATTGGCTAACAAGAGAATCAAGCTCAATGCATTGGAGGAAGAAATATCAAACCAGAGTAGCTTTTACGCACCTTGTAGACAGGACCGAAGCCTTAATGACCGAGCTTATTCAACTTGGAGTGGCCACTTGAGGTGTATGGAGGGCAAAGAACAAGTCGGAGTTCCCAAATCGAGGCCAAAGAATAAATAACTTGGTTTACGCACCTTGTAGACAGGCATGCTTACATGGGGTGTGACGACATGGCAGGGTTTGGGTAACAGGGTTAGAGTGGGTTAAATTTTATCAAAACTGATACGTTCACAGCCTAGATTTTGATAATCTTGAATCTAGGAGATTGTATTGGATATCTGAGATATCATTAAAAACTTGAGAAGGCCACATGCACTTTTTATTAAACATGAGAGAGAGAAGTGATCAATTAATCATGACGAATATTGAGTTAATGATCAACTAATCATGACGAGTACTGAGTCCATGATCACATTTTATTATTAACAAGCTAATGACTAAGAACACTCATGCAACAAATTAAACTCGTAATGATGAAAAAATAGTGTAAGATGTGGAATGATGCTTATAAAACATGTAGCTTCTATCGAACCCATTAGCTACCTTCATCAAAAGAGGAAAAAGAGCTTGAGTTTCGGAAATGATCCTCAAGTGTATTAATACTGTTCCTAACACCTGATTTCATGGATGTCCACCTTCCTCCAGGTTTACCAGGTTCCAGCAAAGTAAACGAGTCACTCGAAAGCATGAGATGAATCGAATTCATGTCAGGCCTATCAGCAACAGTTTGTTGACAGCACAATAGCCCTATTTGAATGCACATCCCCACTGAATCAGTGTTATAATGGTCTCCAAGGGCAGGGTCAACTAATTCCAGCATCTTTCCTGCTTGATAGAGTGTCCATGCCTGTGTTTTAAGTTGCCACAAAAAGAGGTAACAAATAAAAGAAATTCAGGTGGAATGATAGCTAACTTAAGTGTTGCATGGACTCCAAGCAAGAGCATGAATCAAAGAACTGGTACCAATTGGCCCTTACAAATCACACAAGGCATGACTAAAGCAGGTTCTTCATTTATTTGCCTAATTTCCATATACAAGAACCCATTCTCGAATTCATGTCATCTTGACTCTATGCTCAATAGGCAACTACAATTCAAAATATACATTTCTATCCTACATAACTCAATCTATACAGCAGTCTGTAAAATCGACTTACAAAATTTGCTAGATCAGCATGGTCCGTACTAAGTCTGCGATCAAGACTCCTTCTCCCGCTAATGATTTCTAGAAGGAGAATACCATAACTGAAAACGTCGGTCTTGACAGAAAGATATCCATGCATAGCATACTCTGGGGCCATGTAACCACTGCAACCAACATCAAGTTAATTCTCAGTCGCTTAAGAAAAGCTGCATCCAAACATTCAAGTGAAATAGAAAAGGAATCCTAATTATAGAGAACTGGAAAAAAGACTCACTGAGTACCAGATACCCTTGTGCTCATAAGTGAGTCTTCCTCTGGACACAGCCTGGCAAGGCCGAAATCCGATATCTTTGGGTTCAGGCTTTCGTCCAACAATATATTACTAGCTTTGATGTCTCTGTGAAGGATTTTCATGGGGGCTTCTTCATGGAGGTAAGGAATTCCCCTGGCCACCCCCTTCGCTATATTGAATCTTGTAGTCCAATCCAGAGAGGAAGACTTCTCTTTATCTAGGAACTTTCACTAGTAAGAGAATCAACAGGTGCTAATTTCTTCTCTCTTTTTTTTCTTCCTTTTTTTTGGTGAAAAGTGCTAATTTTCGTTTGCCCAACATAAAAAACAGTTTATGCAAATATGAGATTTTTACCAAAGAGGAAGCAATCAAGGCTTTTATTAGGCAAATACTCGTACACCAGCATCTTGTCAGATCCTTCTACACAGCAACCCAACAATGTAACTAGATTCAAGTGCCGGATTTCGGACAGCAGCTTCACCTCATTAGTGAATTCAATTACTCCAGGTGTTGAATTTGATGAGAGCTTCTTCACAGCAATTTCTTGGCCATTCGGCATCAGACCCTGAAAACAAATCTACATGGATGGGAAGCGATGCCTCTTGGAGATAATTTGGACAGCAAACATTTAGCAGGTTGATTCAGAAGATGACCAATGAACATATCATTTTATTCAAAAAAAAACATATCATTTCGACTTTCAGGACAATTCTAAAAATGTCTCGTGAGTTTGCACAATTCCAGCATACTTTACAACCGAATCAAATAGGAATGCCAAGGGTTATAAGAATTTCATCATGAACCAGTTCAATAGCTATTTCAAATCCTGAGTAAATATCAAATGCTCGATTGTAGAATGAAGAATTGTACCAATTCTAAGGGAAGACAAATTTAGTTGAAGCGCCAAAAATGGGAAGTTGCAAGGACATGCAAAACAAACATAAACCAAACTCGCAACTCTGTAAGCTGAACCAAATCGACATGCTTCAATTCAACCGTGAAGATGACACCATGAACAGCAATTCGCTAATATCGGGCTCGATGAACTGCGGAAGAAACAACCAACCAGAGATTCAGTATTACACACCTTGTAGACGCGACCGAAGCCTCCCTGACCGATCACATTCTTCTTGGAGAAGAAATTGGTGGCAACTTGAAGAGTACGGAGGCTAATAAAGAGGTCAGGAGTTTCAAAAGACATGCCGAAATTGCCACCAACCTCATTACGGCGAGGGTAATTCAGTATCCCGTACAGGTAGCGGCGGATGGTGCGAAGAAGGCCCATGACTAGGGCGTGGAGCGTGAAGGCTGAAGACTGAAGATAGTGGAGAAGGGTTGGGAAATGCCGGCGGTCTGTGTTCCGTCGCCGCCGATGGTTATGGCCTCTACTATCTTATGGCGCGGGAAGTTGACTGGAATTTTTTCAGTCTTTGGTTCGAGTCTTCTCGGCAGTTTTCGTGGAAATGAAAAAAGAAGGGGAGATGGGTGGGGGTGGGGGTAACAGCACAGCAAAATTGAAAATCAATTTTGACCGTTGGAGTCAACGCGGGCTGCTTGAAGAAGAAGAAGAAGAAGTCTCATTTGTTTGATACGCACCGTTCCGTGCCAAACTGCTGCGTTTCATTTATCGCTGCCTTTTGTTTTCTTTTCTGCCAAGTTTGTACTTGTTTCCCTTTCAAGCAAGACAGAGCAGCGAGTTACAAGCTGTTCTTCATTGTCTTCTTCTGATGTACCAGACTATATAGTCCTTTGCTTAATGAGAATGAAGGCAAGCCTTCTAGGGTTTCACACTCCTTTCAACTTCTTTGTTATGGTATCAGAGCCCTAAACAAGCTCTGTTGCCGCCGCCACAATGGCTGATGCAGATCAAGCTCAAACTTCACCCCAACCAACCACAACCACAACTCCACCACTCTACCAAGTTGAAGATCCTTTCTACCTTCATGGATCTGAGCAACCTGGCCTCCTTCTCGTTGCTGAGAAGCTCAGCACAACCAACTACAACGACTGGAGCAGAGGAATGCTCAACGCCTTGGCCTCCAAAAACAAACTGGGATTCATCAATGGATCTGTTCTGGAACCACCAGAGTCTGACCCTCTTCGAGGCATCTGGATGCGCAACAATGTGATGATTTTGAGCTGGATACAGCAAGCTGTTGAGCCAGAGATTCGCAAGACAATCTTGTCCACCAAGACAGCTCTTGAAGCTTGGTGCAGCCTGCAATCCAGATATGGTGCTGGTGACATCATCCGCGTGGCAGAGCTTGAAGAGGCACTTTCCAACCTGAAACAAGGTAATGACACCATAACTGAGTACTATGGTCGAGTCATTACTCTAAAAGACGAGCTAGATAACTACCAACCATTGATTGCCTGTGACTGCACTCCCACCAGTCATATCAGCTGCAGAGCCATGCAAAAAGTCTTTGAATATCATGCCACCAACTATGTGATTAAGTTCTTAAGGGGTTTAAATGAGAATTTTTCCACTGTTCACTCCAAGTTCTATTTGGTGATGAGTTGCCGACATAAATCGTGTTTTTCAAAGAATGTTACAACACGAAAGGCAACTGTATGGAACTCAAAGAGGGAAAATCATTGCCAATATCTCCTCCGAGAGTGTTGCTCTCAGCGCTCAAGGTCCAAACCAATGTTAAGCGTCCATATTGCACATACTGTAAAAGGGAAGGTCATACCGAGGAGATCTGTTACCATAAGCATGGCTGGCCGCCTGGAATGACAAGGACTACACCCACAACCCAGACCAGAGTCCTTGAATGCACACACTGTAAGAGGCAAGGCCACACTGAAGATCGATGCTATGCCAAACATGGTTTCCCTCCACGCACTTCAACTGCCCCTGCAAGATCTAAACAGTATGCTAATTCAGTTGCTACTGATCAAGGAGACACTGAAGTCAAGCTCTCTAAAGCAGACTATGAGAAACTGATGAGTCACATGCATTCATCACAAACCTCTAGTCCATCTTTCACTGCTGCAGCTTATACCAAATCTCTTCCTAACACAGGTAAATATCTCTTCTCTGCTCCAATCAAGGATAGGAGTCTAAACCTTGCCTCCACTTGGATAGTTGACACAGGAGCCTCAGACCATATTGTCTGCTCCTTGGATCTATTACAGAATCCCAAGCCCTTACATGATGTGTTCATCATCCTTCCCACTGGAGAACAACTCCAGGCCACTCACACTGGCCTCACTCAATGTAGTGATCAGCTCACACTCACTGATGTCCTCTTTGTTCCTCTTTTCACATTTAACCTCATTTCTGTCAGTAAACTCACCACCTCCAACTCACTCTACTTAACCTTCTATTCTGACTTTTGTCTTATACAGGACTTGAGGCTGAAGAAGATGAGTGGTTCTGCTAGACTTTGTAATGGACTTTACCTCTTAGACTTAGATCTTAAACCTAAAATCATCACTGCTGCTAGGGCATCCCATTTTGATCTCTGGCACTTTCGATTGGGCCATGTTTCCCACTCCAAAGTGCCATACCTATCTCAATTTTGTACCTCCATTGAAACTCAAAGAGATTTGCCCTGTGATGTTTGTCACTTTGCTAAGCAAAGAAGACTTTCCTTTCCTGTTAGTCAGTCTGTAACTACTAAACCATTTGAACTCCTACATGTTGACATCTGGGGTCCTAATCCCACCCCTTCTTTTGATGGTTATAAATACTTCTTGACCATTGTTGATGACTACTCTCGTATGACTTGGGTTGTTCTGTTATCTCTCAAATCAGAAGCTAGGCCTCAATTAATCACCTTCTGCAAACAAGCAGAAAGGCAGTTCCAAACCTCAATCAAAAGAATCAGGTCTGATCAAGGGAAAGAGTTTTACACGGAAGAATTCTTTGCTTCCACTGGTATTATCCATGAAATGTCATGTGTCCAAACCCCTCAACAGAACAGCAAGGTTGAGAGGAAACACCAACATATATTAGCAGTGGCTAGAGCTTTAAAGTTTCAAGCTGGTCTCCCAGCTGGTTTTTGGGGGGATTGTATTAAACATGCAGTTTTCCTAATTAACCGAGTCCCAACTTCCATTTTATCCAACAAAACCCCTTATGAAGTCCTTCACAACAAACCTCCTAATCTTTCAGACCTTAAGGTCTTTGGTAGCCTCTGTTATGCTAGCACCCTAGGACATAACAGAACCAAATTCCAGCCTAGAGCTAAGAAAGGTGTTTTCATTGGTTATGTTCCTGGTATCAAGGGATACAAGGTCTATGACCTTGAGACACATGACACTTACATCTCTAGAGATGTAATTTTCTATGAAAACCACTTTCCCTTCAAGACTGACAACAACAGTGATGATTCAATCAACCTTAACACTAGTTCTCCCCCTAATGACCTTTTTCCTTTACCTGTCCCTCCATATTCTGATACTGATGACCCCAGTCCCCCATCTGCTTCTACACCTACATCTATCCAACCCCCATTAACAGAACCTTCCTCCCCTTCATCAACTTATTCTCCATTACATTCTTCTTCCTCACCTACTGCATCTCCTTCCAATACACCATCCTCCTCCCCCTCTAATCCTTCACCACCGTCATCACCCCCACCACCAGTTCTAACTACCAGAAAATCAACTAGAGTTTCCAAACCCCCTGAACATCTTACCAAAAACTACCATTGCTATCTCCTGCACAAGTCTGGCAGCATTCAATCATCTACTCAGTCTCAAGTTCTCAAGACAAGGTACTCTCTTTCTTATGTCCTATCTTATCAAAGACTTGCTCCTCATCATCGAAATTTTCTTCTAAATATTTCCTCTCATGTTGAACCAAATACATACAAGGAGGCTTCTCTGTCTCCTGAGTGGAATGCTGCTATGCAGCTTGAAACAGAGGATTTGATCAAAAACCATACATGGGATATTGTGGATCTTCCCCAGGCAAAAAACCCATTGGTAACAAATGGGTTTACAAACTCAAATTTCTTCCTACTGGTATTCTAGACAGATTCAAGGCAAGACTTGTTGCCAAAGGTAACACACAACAAGAAGGGGTCGATTTTCAGGACACTTTTGCACCTGTTATTAAACTGACCACTGTCAGGACATTCTTAGCTGTTGCAGCTCTTCGCAACTGGCATATACATCATCTAGATGTGAACAATGCTTTTTTGCATGGTGACCTAGAAGAAGAGGTCTACATGACACTGCCAAAGGGGTATTCACCACCATCTGGTTTCAAGAATCATGTTTGTCGCCTAAGGAAGTCTCTATATGGCCTCAAACAGGCTTTTAGACAATGGTTCACTATGTTACAAGATCATCTACTTCTTGAAGGTTATGTTCAAAGCACAGCAGACCATTCCTTGTTCTACAAGGTCACTGACACATCCTACACATCTATCCTTATCTATGTTGATGATCTATTAGTTGGAGGTAATGATTTGGAGGAAATAGCAAGATTGAAGTCATCCCTTCATACCACATTCAGCATCAAGGATCTGGGTACACTACGTTACTTCCTTGGTATTGAAGTGGCCAGGAACAACTCTGGAATTCATTTATCACAACGGAAATACACTTTGGAGATCATTGAAGAGGCAAATTTACTTGATTCCAAATCTGTTTCTACACCAATGGATTACAAGCTACATCTCAGTTCAGAATGTGAAACTCCTTACAGTGATCCAGAGTTGTATAGAACATTAGTTGGGAAGTTGATTTATCTAACTACAACAAGGCCTGATATCAGCTATGCTACACAACAAGTCAGCCAATTCATGTCCAATCCTAGCACAGTTCACTACAAAGCAGTTGAAAGGATTCTTCGTTACCTCAAGTCTGCTCCCACCACTGGTCTCTTCTATCCAAGCAAAGGTTCTTTCTCTCTCAAGGCATACACAGATTCTGACTGGGCTGCTTGTGTTGACACCCGTCGATCTGTTTCTGGTTATTGTGTTTATCTTGGCGATTCCATCATCTCCTGGAAAAGCAAGAAGCAGAAGACAGTCTCCCGCTCTTCCTGTGAGGCTGAATATCGAGCCCTCGCCTTTCCTCTTGTGAACTTCAATGGCTGATTTATCTTCTTGCAGATTTCCAGGTTCACCTGTCACAGCCTGCGACCCTCTTCTGCGACAACCAGAGTGCAATCTACATAGCCCAAAACCCAACTTTTCACGAGCGCACCAAGCACATCGAACTCGATTGTCACTTGGTGCGCGAAAAGCTTCAGAACAAGACCCTTAAGCTCCTCCATGTATCTTCTTCGCACCAGCTTGCAGATCTTTTCACGAAGCCACTTTCGCCTGCTCCTTTCCGCCATCTTCTGTCCAAGCTTGGTGTGCACAATCTGTGTCCACCAGCTTGCGAGGGGGTAACAGCACAGCAAAATTGAAAATCAATTTTGACCGTTGGAGTCAACGCGGGCTGCTTGAAGAAGAAGAAGAAGTCTCATTTGTTTGATACGCACCGTTCCGTGCCAAACTGCTGCGTTTCATTTATCGCTGCCTTTTGTTTTCTTTTCTGCCAAGTTTGTACTTGTTTCCCTTTCAAGCAAGACAGAGCAGCGAGTTACAAGTTGTTCTTCATTGTCTTCTTCTGATGTACCAGACTATATAGTCCTTTGCTTAATGAGAATGAAGGCAAGCCTTCTAGGGTTTCACACTCCTTTCAACTTCTTTGTTAGGGGGGTTGGCTTTCGATCAGTACAAATATTTACAAGAGTTTTATAGAATAGATTTGATGTCTACTAGATAATAAAATAAATTTCTAACTCTATTCTTGATGTGATTCAAAGTTGAAAAACTCTTTTAACTCTTGTCATGTAACCATAAAATCAATTCAAATTAAAAATAAATCGTAATTAGTTTAATTGTTAGGTTTTGAAAAAAGTTGGGATAATGAATAATGTTTTTACTACTTCATAGTGTTTAAAATAGAATTAGAAATTAGTTGCAACCTGAAGAATATGTTTAATAATAGTAGTGTTAGTTTTGAATAACACAAACTACCACTTATACGTTTTGTAATCATACACAAACTACCACTTATATTTTTTAATCATACACAAACTACTACCGAAAGTAGGATAATCGTTTTTTCAAAATTTAAGGGTATCGCGGATTACCAATTATACTTTTTGTATCCATACGAAACTACTACTGAAGATTAAATAATTGTTTACCCAAATTTTATGGGTGTGACGGGACACTCCTAAACATCCATGTATCCACCACTGCTTTCAATCGAGTCCGGACTCCTAATCTAGGACAGTTTCTTAGTTACTTGAGTAAGTCATTACTAACCGGGCCTGGATAGTATAACAACACCTTAAGTGTTGTTATACTAACAACATGATTCGTTAATGGTATAAGGGTAAACTTACCTAAAATCAAATTAAATTAAATTAAAATATCTAATTTCCCAGATCGCTCTCGATCTCCTCCCCTACCTTTCCCGACCGCTTCTCCTCAATCCTCTCTTCTGCCGCCGCCGTCGATCCTTCTCCTCCAATCTCAGTCAAGCAGTGATCCTCAATCCGCCACTGTCCTGGACGAATTCGATGGCATCGAAGAAGGCGTCGTCGAAACGGCCTGTCGAGAAGAAGAAAACGACGAGGATCAGGATCTCGACTTCCTCCGTCGACACTGGGGGCCTCTTTAGCAGTGAAGGAGGCTCGGAGGACTATGAAGGCGAAGAAGAAACAGAGTTTGGCGCGCGCGACCTGGAGGAAGGACAGATGAGGAGGGCGCAGGAGGAGGAGGAAGAAGGCGGCAGCGGCGGCGGAGATTGGGTCGTCGGCACGGCTGTCACGGTTCTCGCAGTGGGTAATGACGTGCAGGGTGGAAGGGAAAGTGAAGGAGAGCTACGCGGTGGTGAAGAGGTCGGAGGATCCGAGAGAGGATTTCAAGGCCCAGGAAAATATTTATTCCAAAGAAGCTGAAAGATAAGGCAAGATATTTTCCATGGCGGACATTATAAGGGATAAGGAGATGTTCGAGGAGAAGGATCTGCAGCAGCTGCTTTGGAATAATTTTTTTTTTTTTTTGTAGAATGGAATAAATATTTTGAAAACACAAAGCAAATCATAAATATTTTGAAAAGTACAGCAGATACCCCCTAATGCAAGCCACAAACACGGTAAAGCAAACCACAATAAAGCAAACAAAAAACGTCCTAATGCAGACCACAAATATATTAAAACAAACCAGAAACTTCACAAAGCAAACCACAAATATATTTAAAAAAACCAGAAACCTCGCAAAGCAAACCACGAAAGTTTCGAAAGCACACCAGAAACTTCTTAATGCAAACCAGAAACCTCCTAATACAAACCACAATCTCCTAAAACATGCTAGAAACCCCGCAAAGCAAACCACAAAATATGTCATAAGCACATCAGAAATCTCCTAATGCAAACCACAAACACAGTAAATCAAACCACAAAAAAAGCAAACCATAAACGTCCTAATACAAACCACAAATATATTAAAACAAACCAGAAACCTCACCATGCAAACCACAAAATTTTTGAAAGCAAACCAGAAACTTCTTAATGCAAACCACAAAAGGCATACAAAAATATGAGCAACCAAACCATAAATCTCACAATGCAGACTATAACATTCGGTAGTCGTTGACCAAACTCCGATGACCGTTAGTGAGCAGATTCCAGCGCCGATAGGCATATTCCGGCCCCGATGACTAGATTGCGACGCCAGTAAGCATATTCTGACGACAAATAGCATATTCCGGTGACCAGCTTCCGGTGGCTGAATTCCGGCGACCAAAATTTTGCACCAAAAATATAAAAATATTATTATTTTATTATTATTATTTAAACATATTTTTCATAATGACAATTATACCCTTGTTTTGATTTTACACTATGTCAACTTAGCTAATAAAAAGTCATTACAACCCTAACTTCCTATTGGTTGGAGGCTAGTGTTGTCATCCTAACAACAAACAAAATATGTGTTGTCATAATATCTTGTCCCTACTAACCTTTAGATATAGACACATTAATTTAATGGTGACGAAATGAGAAGTATTTTTAATTAATAATAAGTGTAATTTTGGTATTATAAAAAATTGATTTAATTTATCTTTTTCTCTTTTTTTTCTGACCGTCACTTCTTTTTCATCCTTCCTTTTTTTCCTTATTTATACAAGATGATCAACTTGTACAAATACAAATCAGATTTACAAAACATACAAACTATTTTAATAATACAAACTAGACTGACAAACTAGAAAAACTATACAAACTAAATTTACAAACTATGCAAAATAAACAAACTATACAAATAATACAAAATCATCAAGGATAGGCCGAAATCGCACTCGAAATCGCAGAGGAGGAATGTATAAAATAATCGATATATACCTAGAGAATTAGTAAGTTCTCTCATCTGCTAAACACAACCTAATTAATTATCATCTAAAGATTAACAAGACAACTGAGGAAAAAGATATTGAAAGTATAATAGCTCAAAACACCGGACACTGTGGACGCAGATACAATTTAGTGTGGACCAAGATACAATTTACTGCTCATTTAGACCTAATTTTACTATTCACTTGACAGTGCACTATGCGGAGTCAGGAAGCTGTGTGTGGTGGTCTTTGTCTCTCGTAGAGACTCTTGAAGGGGGAGGAGTGATGGGTTGCTGGGTGTTAGCGGGGATGTAACGGGAAGTCCTGCGCTGCGTGCTTTGGAAGAGTCAATCAATATAAAGAGTCAATCATGTTTAAACATGAATAGTTTGTTTATTTTGTATTAGAAGGGCAGGCTCCATGCTTTGGTTCCATTCGTAGAATTGGGGTGTTACGAACAAGGATAGGCCGACATCGCACTCAATATCGCAAAGCCTCCCTCATCTGGCGAAGGAATGGTGGACTTTTGGGTTCGACGAGGCAGAGAAGTGGCGGCGACAGCTGGTGGAGCTGAGTAATCATGGAGGGAAGGAGGGAGTGTGTGTTTGGTGGGGACCTTTCATCTCCTTTTTTATTTTTTATTTTACTTTTTATTTTTTAAACTTAATCCAGCGTGGAATTGTTGCCGAAGAAACTCGCCAACTCGGCATTTCCGTTTGTCCAGTCAGCTTATTAGCTGACACCGTTAAAGAATTCGACGAAAGTGGCTATAAGTGGTATTTCGTCAAATTTGGATATTATTGGCACAACCATGAAAGTTTTGGATATACAAGTGTATTTAACCTTTTATTTATACTAATAACCTTATATAAGGTGGAACGGTAGTGGTAGTATTGTTTTGAGTAAATTTTTTAGTTGTAGCCTAGAGAAATCATAAGGACGACCGTAAGAAAGGAGATTGTGGATTGGTGTTGTTTTGATCAAAGACGTAGATAGTGGAGAATTCTTCGTAGTAGTGGTTCTGTAATAGTAGTATAGTGATTTCATAACAGCGATTTATAGATAAGATAGTAGTTAGAGGTGGCAATTCTCAATCCAATCCACCAACCCATTAAAAATATCCACTTAATCCAATCCATTTGATCCAAATCCAATTGGATTGGTGGATTCATGGATTGATCCATGGATCCAAATGGCAAATTACGGTTTGGTACCTATACTTTTTATATTTTACATTTTGATACCCAAAATTTAATTTTTTAAATGAAAAATATCATTGGAAAATTAAGTTTTGGTACCTACAATTTTCATTATGACATTTTAGTACCTTAACTTTTCACATTTTACATATTCGTCCTTGGTTGAGGATGTCATTAGAATTCATGGATAATCTACCAATCCATGAATCCACCAATCCATTGGATCCATGGATCTACCAATCCAATCCACCAATCCATGGATCAAACCATTTGCCACCTCTAATAGTAGTAGCAGTGATTCTTTAATAGTGATTTTATGGATCCTATAATTAAGTGTCTGATTGCAATAGAGTCTTTTATTATGTATTAGTAGTAATTCGTGTTATTGACAATACTGTGATGGATAGTAATACTGATTCTACTAAATAATTATCAAAATCACTACTAATAACTCATAAAATCAATACTACACGCACCAAATTACTACTACGCACCTAAAACAAAAGAGTAATATTTTACCCGCATGAATAATAATAATTTTTAGTAGTACTTGAAGAGGTAGTAATGCTCTTAAAAAAAAAAAAAGAGGTAGTAATGTTTTCCATTTAGTTTTTTATGTAGAGACCGAGAGCTGTGATGGAGAGGAGGAGAGAGAGACGTGATGGAAGGGAGGAGAGAGAGTAAAAATTGTAACCGCTATCCATTAAATTCCCAAAAAATTCTCCCACGTAAATAAATAAAAAATTAAAATTTCTCTCTCATATTACTAATCTACCTTTTTTAATTTGTAGTCATTAGATTTAAAATAAAATAATTTAAATGCTAGTTAGTATGGTTCTAAATCCCTATAAGGTTAGCACCCTATCTATTTCCGAGTATGGGTGATTAATACCGTAAAAATGTGAAATAAAAAATAAAAAAGGAGATGAAAGGTCCCCACCAAACACACACTCCCTCCTTCCTTCAGTGATTACTCAGCTCCACCAGCCGTCGCCGCCGCTTCTCCGCCTCGTCGAACCCAAAACTCCATCATTCCTTCGCCAAATGAGGGAGGCTTTGCGATTTCGAGTGCGATGCCGGCCTATCCTTGTTCTTAACACCCCAATTCTACGAGTGGAACCAAAGTACGGAGCTCACCCTTCTAATACAAAATAAACAAACTATTCATGTTTAATTGATTGACTCTTTATACTGATTGACTCTTCCAAAGCATGCAGTGCAGGACTTCCCGTCACATCCCCGTTAGCACCATGGGCGGCCAAGGCCAATGACGAGGGGGGGAGCTAGCCTCGTCATTGGAGAGCCGAGGGGAGTGAGAAAATGTCGGTAGTGGAAAAAATGTGGGATTACACGTGGGGAAAAATCGAGAAAACCGATATTTCAGCCCCGACAAGTGCACTCGGCCAGCCCAACCGAGTGCAGTCGGCCAGCCCAGTCGAGAAAACTCGGCCAGCCTTTGCAGTTGGCCAAGAAATCTTGCACAGGCGGTCGAGATCGAGTTCATTCTCGGCCAGCGCTGCCGAGTGCACTTCTCGGCCAGCGCTGACGAGTGCACTTCTCGGCCAGCGCTGACGAGTGCTCTCGGCCAACCATTGTCTGCCGATGTTTTTGTAGAATATCGACAGCGGGTAAACTGTGTATCGATATTTGCTCTCAACGAATGTGGATTTTTATGATTTGTCTCTTCGGAGGGTAATGTGGGTTGTGCGAAAATGTTTTTGTGGAACATCGACAGCGGGTAAACCGTGTATCGATATTTTCTCTCGACGAATGTGGGTTTCTATGAATTGTCTCTTTGGAGGCAATTTACGTGCTAAGCGGTGCGCAATTGGCTTCATCAAGTGAATTCCCGAGTTGAGTTTTAGCTATATGTTAAGCTTGGCAATGGGTCATCTTGTTGGGGTTGGTTTGCGTTGTACGTGATGCGCATGAGTGGTAGTTGAGTTGTTTGGGAGGGCGGGCTCCGTGCTTTGAGCATCGTTTTATATATTCTTCCTCTGCGATTTCGAGTGCAAATTAAAGACAGTCATGCAGGACTTCCCGCAATCATGTTTAAAAATGAATAGTTTGTTTATTTTGTATTAGAAGGGAGGGCTCCGTGCTTTGGTTCCATTCGTAGAATTGGGGTGTTAAAAACAAGGATAGGCCGGTATCGCACTCGAAATCGCAAAGCCTCCCTCATCTGGCGAAGGAATGGTGGAGTTTTGGGTTCGACGAGGCGGAGAACGGGAGAAGCGGCGGTGACGGCTGGTGGAGCTGAGTAATCACTGAGGGAAGGAGGGAGTGTGTGTTTGGTGGGGACCTTTCATCTCCTTTTTTATTTTTTATTTTTTTAAACTTAATCCAGCGTGGAATTGTTGTTGGAGAAACTCGCCAACTCAGCAGTTTCGTTTGTCCAGTCAGCTTATTAGCTGACACCGTTACAGAATTCGACGAAAGTGGCTATAAGTGGTATTTCGTTAAATTTGGATATTATTGGCACAACCATGAAAGTTTTGGATATACAAGTGTATTTAACCTTTTATTTATACTATAACCTTATATAAGGTGCAACGGTAGTGGTAGTATTGTTTTGAGTAAATTTTTTAGTTGTAGTCTAGAGAAATCATAAGGACGACTGCAAGAAAGGAGATTGTGGAGTGGGTGTTGTTTTGATCAAAGACGTAGATAGTGGAGAATTCTTCGTAGTAGTGTTCTGTAACAGTAGTATAGTGATTTCATAACAGCGATTTATAGATACGATAGTAGTTAGAGGTGGCAATTCTCAATCCAATCCACCAATCCAATCCACCAACCCATTAAAAATATCCACCTAATCCAATTGATTTTAATCCAATTCATTTGGATTGGTGGATTCATGGATTGTTCTTTGGATCAAAATGTCAAATTACGGTTTGGTACCTATTCTTTTTATATTTTACATTTTGATACCCAAAATTTAATTTTTTAAACGAAAAATATCATTGGAAAATTACGTTTTGGTACCTAAAATTTTTCATTATGACATTTTAGTACCTAAACTTTTCACATTTTACATATTGGTCCTTGGTTGAGGATGTCATTTGGATTCCTAGATAATCCACCAATCCACTTGATCCAATCCATTTATCCACCAATCCATTGGATCCAATCCATGGATCAATCAACCAACCTATTAAACACCCTATGTATAAACAAATAAATAAATAATAAAATAACACCTCTTGAAGGGAGAGAGAGAACGAAAGAAAAAGAGTAACACACCCACTATTATTAATAAAAATAATTTTTTATTACTTATTGATATGACACTATGAAACAGTAAAAACCTTGTTCTTTTTTTTTTATTTCTTCCCCTCTTCTGCGTGGAAAAACTGAAGACTCTCTTGATGATAAAATGATTTTTTAATCCCCTCTTGATTTGACACTAAGGAACAGTAAAAACCTTATTTGTTCTTTTAAAGATATAAATAATAATAATAATTTGAGTCAACAAAACCGTCAAACCCATCCACCATTCACTATCATCCACCCAATCCACCCACAACAATACAAATGTGTTTCATAGTTGCTGCAGTTTCCAATATCATAATAGAGTATGATTAAGATCTATTGAGGTCGTTGAATGTTAAACTACGTACCAATACAGAGCCCTCAAAGTGTCTACCGAAGAAATAACAGAGTGAAGCAACTAGTCAAAACTCAACACTCAGAAATGGATACCATTTACTCAAAGATCACTAATCCATAATTTCAAAGTTTTGCAAGTCGCTTCAGCATGATCAATTAATCAAGACGATTAGTGCTCACTGAGTCGATGATCACGTTTTGTTCTTAACAAGCTAACGACAAGGACAAGAACACTCAACATTAAATGAATTAAACTGGGGGCCTTGTGATGACTATTAGAGAAAAAGGGGTCACCCGGCATAATAAGTATCAGCACAGTAAAAAAACAATTGAACCATACTTTACATATATACACATGTAGAATCATAAACATTCATTTATCTACCTTCATCAGTGGAGGAAACAGATATGGAGTTTTGGGAATATTGTTCCGCCGTGCTCAGGTTAGTAACCAGAGAAGTGGAGCAACTGGTGGTGGTAGATGTCCAGATTCTTGTTCGGACCAGCAGACAAGGTTGGCCTGGTGCTGGCAAAGCAAACAAGTTGCTCAAAAGCATGACATGGATTGAGTTCATGTCAGGCCAATTGTCAGGAGATTTTTGACAGCACAAGAGCGCTATCTGAATGCACATCTCCACTTCATGGGTGTTATACGAGTTGCCAAGGCTCGGGTCAGCTAATTCCGACATCTTTCCCTCTTGATAGAGCGTCCATGCCTGTTTTTAACAAGTTACGGCCAAAACGAAAGGGTAGCTGATGGGTTAGATTGATGCGCTGAAGAATCAAGTGGAATGATTGCATGGAAGGACGTGAACTAGAAAACTGCTCACACAGAGGGTCAAATAAAGCATGGTTTTCCAGAATTTTCTTGATTTGGATACAGAAGATATCGATTTTCAAATTCCTGACATCTTCAATCTACAACTCGAAACTCGGACTAAAAATTTCAATGACTCTAGCAAAGCAGTAGATACAGCATTCTATAGAATTGGCTTACTGAATGCAAGAGATCATATCGGCCTGGACCGAAACTAAAATCAATACTCTTTCTCCCACTTATAATTTCTAGAAGGAGAATGCCATAACTGAAGACGTCGATCTTGACAGAAAGATCTCCATACATCGAGTACTCTGGGGCCATGTAGCCACTGTAATCAACATAAAGTTTTATTTCAACCGATTAAGATAGGAAAAGCTAAGCAGCATTCAACCATCGAGCGAAATAAAAACGCTTTTTATCAATCATAGAGAACCAGGAGAAGCACTCACAGGGTACCAGATATGGTAGATGTGTTTACATGTGTGTCTTCCTCGGGGAACATCCACGCAAGGCCAAAATCCGTTATCTTTGGACTCAGCTTTTCATCCAGCAAGATATTGCTGGCTTTGATGTCTCCGTGAAGGATTCTCATGGGAGCTTCTTCATGGAGATAAAGAAGCCCCCTCGCCACCCCTGTCGCTATACGGAATCTTGTTTCCCAAATCAGGCAGGAAGACTGTTTTTTATCTAGGAAATTTCACCAGTCGTAATCATCAAGTGCTAATTTTATTTTGCACAACATGAAAGGCATCTAAGCAATAAATGAGCTTTTTACCAAAGAGGAAGCAGTCAAGGCTTTTGTTGGGGAGATACTCGTAGACAAGCATCCTCTCAGGTCCTTTTGCACAGCAACCCAGCAATATAACTAAATTCATGTGTCGGATTTCAGACAGCAGTTCCACTTCATTAGTGAATTGTCTTACTCCCTGTGTTGAATATGATGAGAGCTTTTTCACTTGGCCATTAGGCAATACCCCCTGAAAACAGCTCAACATGGATGAATAAAGTAGTGCTTGGAGAAGTTTTGACAGTCAAAAGATGTTGCAGATTGTTTGAGAGAGACAAACGAACGTATCAAAAAAATTCTTGACGTCTCAAAAAACTCAGCGTACATTACATTCAAATCAAATATATCAGAATTTCGTCATGAACCAATTCACCAGTATTGCTCAAATTTGGCTGATTGAAGAAAACAGAAACTATTCACTTTCTCTAGCCATAAAAAATTCATGGTTGCTAGAACCACAAACCCGAGAGTCAAACAGAAACTATTCACTTTCTCTTGCCAACAAAAAATCATGGTAGGCACCACAAACCCCAGATTCAACAAAAGAGAAACACAACCACCGCTATCTTTCTGGCAAGTCAAGACGTTAACCGATTGCCAGTTGCCAACATAATTCAATTCAAATGTAATACCGAAAATGGAGCAAGTTCGAAGCTTCATGAATATCCAAGCCAACAAACCCAAACTAGCAACTCCGTAAACTGAACTCACTCAACATAACCATGATCAGCAGTTAGCTGATTATACGATCGAGTTCAATGCACTGGAGGGGAAGAAATAACAAAACCAGAGAGTCACACTATTGCGCACCTTGTAGACGGAACCAAAGCCTCCCTCGCCTATCTTATTCAACTTGGAGAAGGAATCGGTAGCCACTTGAAGCGTACGGAGGCCAAAGACGAGAACGGAAGTTTCAAAAGCTATGCCGAAACTGACACCACCCTCGGCGCGAAGAGAATTCAATATTCCGCCCAGATATCGGCGGATGGTGCGAATTAGGCTCATGATTAGGACAGGCAGCGTTGAGGTTGAGGAGGGGAAGGGCCTGAGAATTGCCTGCAGTCGGCGATCCGTCGCTCCCCATGGTTGTTGCGTCTCTTATGGGAGTAGTAAGTTGAGTGGGTCTTAGTCTTCCGTTGGATTCTTATTGGGGTTTCGTGGAAATGAAAATGAGGAGGGAAAGGGTTGGTCATTAATTAGGGAAGAGACCAAATAGAGAGCGAGAGTCGTCCACCGGAAGAGCACAATGGCGTTTGACAATGATCACCAGAATCAGCACGCCGACAACGATGATTCAGTGTTTCGATCACTCAGCTTTCCACTCCACGGTACTGCCCAATCCATTTGATTCAATCCATGAATCCACCAATCCATTTGATCCATGGATCCACCAATCCAATCCACTATCCAATTGCCACCTCTACCTGGAGGGCTTGCTCTCTGCCGCCTCCACCTTCTTCTTCACCATCTTTTCTTCTTCTTCAACCCCTCTCTCCCTCAGCGTACACTCCTACCGCTGCACATTCGGGGGCAAAGAAATCCGAATTTCCCTTCCACCATCACCAGGAGACTGAAACAACGGCTATCACTCATCGGCAGCATACAACACACCAAAGTCGACCGGCTCATCGGACATTCAATTTCGACAAGGAACCTTGCATCGTCAAACTCATGTGCGGTTCGTCAACAGGCCCACCCTCTCCGATTGACTATTCATAATGATAATTTTGAAAAAAGAAATCCCCCAACATCCCCATTTCCTGTAGCCCCTAGAGACCTTTTACTGCACTTAGTGACTCAGAATTACTGTTTCGACTAGGAAGGAAATCCGGTGTGGGCGGGTGCATGGAGGGGTTCTTTGGTTCCTTGCGAAATCTGGTTTGCCTTCTGGTTGGCTGTCCTCTCAGTCTATCTCACTCGCATTGATCACTCGGCAGAGTTTTGCTCCTTCGGGTTCTGGGACCGGCCACTCTATTTGCTTGAGACATATCAAGTTTCCATTATTCGAGGTCTCCATGGACTCTGATTGGCCGGGATTTTTTTCCTCAGTGCAATAGCCTTGGTTGTAGCACCCACGTCACTGTCTTCGTTCTTGGGGAGTGGGGACTGGCGACTAAAGGTCTGCTTGGGAAACCCGCCAGTGGGTGCGACATAATCCCTTCTCCACCACATATTCCACCTAACCCAAATAGGCTGCTGAGAGAGAAAATGGTCAAATTTCACGACTCTTTAGCTGTTGCGCTCTCCAACTCGGTGTGTTGTATGCGCTCTCCATCGTCGCCTCTCTCCCAACGAGGTGGGTCCAGCAGCTATGGTTTGGGCGAGCAGGCCGAAAAAAGCAAAAAGCAACTCTGTGTGACAGGAGGGGAAAGGACGAAGGAAAAATCAGTCCCACCAGGCTTTCGACCGTTGGAAGAAGGAGTTGGAGGAAGGCAGAATCAAGAAGTCAGCATCAGTAAGGAAAGGGAGAATTGCAGGTACAGATCTAGTATGGAGGCAAGGGATATCTCCAGTGATCTGGAGGAAGCAGCGGCGGCGATGGAGGCTAACCTAAGCCTAGGGGAGGACGAAAGTGGGAAAGGAGGAAGGGGCCGAGAGGGTGTAGTGGAGACAGGCCTGTCTTTGGGCCCAACAGAGGGCTGCTATGAAGCCCACAATACCCAGTCATATGACTTAAGGTATTTCCAAGACCAGTCCAAAATGGAGGGAGAGATGGGCCGGGCCAATAAAAAAAGAAAGGGAACTGAACACAAACAGGCCGAGTTTGCTTTGGGTTTTAATGGGGGAGGCAGTTTTTCTCAAGAAGCCCACAGCCCAAGCCTGTCTGATGGGGGGGCAAACAGAGTGAGGAGGAAGAAGAACACAAAAGGAAGCAAAAGGGCAGTAGAAAAGGGAGCAAGCATATCAAGGGAAGGAAACTATCTTGGAGAAGAAGGAGGAGCAATGGCAGCGGTGGTTCGCCAGAAGCCACCTCACGAGCCATGAGTTTGGTGAGTTGGAATTGTAGGGGGTTTGGCCAACCCCTTACAAGAAGCTATGCAAAAAGGCTTTTTCGGCGTTATAGCCCATCGATTGTCTTTCTCATGGAAACGAGTAAAAACGAAGCTTTCATGGAAGATCAAAGAAGAAGTTTTAAAATCTTCCCCAACAACAAGTATGTGGAACCAGTGAACTCTTCTAGAGGGTTTGCTCTTTGGTGGAAATCGGGTATTGATATTGAGGTTTTAGATTGTAATAGCTATTTTATGGATGTTAGTATTGACATGGGTAGGAAGTTTTATTGTACTTTTGTGCATGCCCCTTCTACATCTGTTAGAAGAAGGGAGTTTTGGGAGCTATTAAGCTCTCTTAGGGATAGTAGGGATGACAAGTGGATTGTTGTAGGTGACTTTAATGCTGCTGTGTATGAATATGAAAAAGAGGGGAGATGCCCCCTTAGGCACGAGAATGTAGAACCTTTCAAGAGGTTCATCTACCACAACGCCCTAATCGACATTGGCTTCAAAGGAGAACCGTTCACTTGGTCCAACAAGAGAACGGGTCAAAACACGGTCAGAGTTAGACTGGACAGGGTGTTGTGTTCCAGTTCCTGGAGAGAGCAATTTGGGGAAGCAGTGGTTTTTCACGAGAAAATGGTGGAGTCAGATCACTGCCCTATCAGACTTGACCTTCACTTTGGAGGCAACAGAAGGAGAAGGACTCCTTTCAGAGTAGACGAGAGGTGGCTAGAGAAAGAGGAATGTCGAGGTATCATAGCAAGAGAATGGGATCCAGGGGGGCCATCTTCGGCACAATTGAACAAATGCGAGAGGGAACTCAAAGCATGGTCAAAGGAGTTCCATAAAACCAACTCGCAAAGAGAGACGGATATCCTGAACAGATTGGAGGTCCTACAACAACCTCCGAGAGATCAAGAAAATGTGGAAGAAGAAAAGAGAATCACAGCGGAGCTGGATAGATTGTGGATTGAGGAGGAAGCTTTCTGGAAGCAATGTTCGAGAGTGAGTTGGCTCCAATCAGGTGATCTGAATACATCTTTTTTCCATTCTAGTACAACGTATCGAAGACACAGGAACAGAATCCTCCGGCTCAAAGACGAGATGGGGAACTGGGTGGAGGATGAAGGAAGATTGAAAGGAATAGCAGGGAATTTCTATAAGGAGCTTTTCAAGGCGAGAGAACTGCTCCCTACCAACCATATTCTGAGTGAGTTCCCAAGAAAGGTAACCAGCGAAATGAATGAGGATTTGTGCGCACCGGTCATTAATGAGGAAATCAGGAAAGCGGTGTTCTCCCTTGGAGCAAAAAAATCTCCGGGCCCAGATGGATTCTCGTGTCAATTCTATAGGAGATTTTGGAATACAATTGGAGAAACCTTGTGTCGTGAGATTAAAGAGTTTTTTGAGACGGCTAGCATGCCGGATGGGTAGAATGATACACACATTGTTATGATCCCAAAGGTTGATCACCCGGAGGAGATGGGCCAATTCCGTCCTATCAGTTGCTGCAATTTCAGATACAAGATCATATCTAAGATCATGGCCACTCGACTGAAGAAATGGACGCCCGAGCTTGTTTCTGAGCTCCAAACAGCCTTCACCGGAGGGCGATTGATACAAGATAATGTTATCATCGTCCACGAAGCACTTCATCATTTCAAGAATCATAAAAAGGGGAGAAGGAAGGATATGATGCTTAAGCTGGATATGAGAAAGGCCTACGATCTGGTTGAGTGGGATGGCTTGGAAACTCTACTTAGCAAGTATGGATTTGAGGACCGATGGTGCAAATGGGTCAGTGCGTGTATCAGATCGGTAAAGTTTTCCATCCTCTTCAACGGAGAAGCATCAGAGCCGTTTGCCCCATCAAGGGGTATCCGACAGGGAGATCCTCTATCACCTTTTCTCTTTATTTTAATGTCGAATGCTTTATCCTTTCTTACTGAGAAAGCGGTGATGGAGGGTAAGATCCAAGGTATAAAACTGAATTCAAGATGCCCGGTCCTCACTCATTGCCTGTTTGCGGATGATACAGTTATCTTCGGAAAAGCTAATCACCAGGAGGCTGGACGGATCCTGGAGATTATCAATGATTATGGTGCTATCATAGGACAAGAAGTTAACTTACATAAATCCTCGGTTTTCTTCAGTGCGAATGTGACGGATAGTGAGAAGGAGGATATCATTACCCAAATTGGGTTTGCCAGCTCTAATTGCCACTCAAAGTATCTGGGGGTTCCTACGGAATGGGGTAACTCGAAGAAAGAGACCTTCTCTTTCCTCATCCAAAGAATGGAAAAGATGGGAGAAGCTTGGAAGAGCCTACTCCTATCCCATGGAGGGAAAGAAGTTCTCCTGAAAGCAGTTATCCAGGCCATTCCGACTTATATCATGTGCCTTTTCCTCCTTCCAGTTGCACTCACCAAGAAGATGGACACGATTCTTAGCAACTTCTTCTGGTCAGGATCAATGCAGAAAAGCAGTATGCACTGGTGCAAAAGAGAGATCTTGTGCTCCCCAAAGACAGAAGGAGGACTTGGTTTCAGAAGTTTCAAGGACTTCAACTTGGCACTCTTGGTAAAACAAGCATGGAGACTTCTATCCTCACCAGATGCACTCTGGAGCCGTCTGTTAAGAGGACTGTACTTCCCAAGGGGAAACTTCCTTTCGGCAAAGAAGGGCAGTAGAGCATCCTGGATCTGGGCAAGCCTATGGGAGGCCAAAAAAGTTATTGAGATGGGAACGGTAAAAGTCATTGGATCAGGTGAGAAAACATGGGTGGATCAGGATCCGTGGGTCCCTACCCTTCAAAAGGGGACTATTGGAAGCGGACCTCAGAACCACATCAGAGTTAAGGAGTGGATTGATCCGGGAGAAAGGATCTGGAACTCAAACCTCATTCAGGGAAACGTGACGGAGGATGAATTGGAAGCTATTTTGAGAATCCCTATTGGGGAAGAGGAGTCGGAGGACTTTTGGGCTCGGAAATTCAATAATGACGGCAATTTCACTGTCAAATCAGCGTATCACGCTATCCATGAGAACAACACCATCACTGCGCCGCCAGGGAACTCTGATAAGTGGAAATGGATTTGGTCTTTACAGCTGCCTCCGAAGCTCACTTTCTTCATTTGGAGGTGTGCAAAGAATGGGATTGCTACGAAAGAGAGGTTGTGGCACCGTAAATGCTCCTCGGATGCGACGTGCCCGGTTTGCCAGAATCAACTTGAATCCATCGCCCACTGCATGTTTGAGTGTCAGCATGCGTTATCTTCGTGGAACAACATGTTCCCATCTCTTCCACTTCCACCCCAATCCACCACCTTCTTTGATTGGTTCTGCTCATTGAAAGACAGTATTCAGCCCAATAGTCTCATCTTGATGGTCTACCTCTGCTGGAATATCTGGAAAGCAAGGAATGAGCGTGCCTTCAAGAATCGTATCCCGTGGCCCCCAAATACCTGTAGGCAGACCGTCAGGGAATTTACCGAATGGACATCGTGCCCGAGACTATCCCAGCCTCATGTCCAACCATCTTCTGTTCAGCTCAGGGATAACCTACCTCATTCTTCTCCACCGCCAAGCAATCACCATATGGTGATTCACTGTGATGGGTC